TGAGTCGGTACCGCATATCATGGGTTGAGTTGCATGTGTTGCCTTGCCATATTGTGTGCTATGTGTGATGTTGGACAGTATTTCCTAATTGATGTGTGTTGAATGATATTTGTAATTTTACTGCCTTTTATTCATGTACATTATTACCGTTATTTTTTTCGATCGTGATTTCTCACCCCTTTGTTGTTGTTGTGGTCTGTGCTTCTTCGGAAGTACAGATAATCCAGGTGCGTAGCTAGCTTGGATTATGGCGAGTCGAGTCGTAGGGATGCTCTGATACGTAACACCTGGGCTTTTGGGAGTTTATTGTTTACCTGATGATTTTGTGTGCCCCTGTGGCGTATCATGTTTGATGAATCTTTTGGGTGAATATATCTTATATATTTTGGGTGTTGGTCGTACATGGTGTATACGACGTTTATGTATATGATGTGAATATATGTACATGTGTCTATATGACAAACTTCCGCTGTTTAATTATTGAAAATCGTTAATGAAAATGTTTGGAGGAGTTTCTTCTGTGACATCCCGTTGTGTTTGTGATGTCTCTGATATTTGTTTATTTTAATTGCATTTATTTTTTTTGTATTTGGGGAGCGGGGTGTTACAAAAATCTAGATCGATGATACCATTTCAATTTCGTTTGACGCAGGTCGGTTGGACTCCTATTATCGCAGTTTCGCCTTGTGATGGTCATTCACGTTTCTTTTTGAAGATAGAGGTTCTCCCGGATTTCCTATGGCAATCCAATATTGATAAAATATTTCCTACTTGTTGGTAAGCATGTCGTTATTTCTCACTTGGATATGTCTACGACAAAATTAGGAATGGGTGGCTATTCTTGTATTGTTTATATGGTTCTCTTCTTGCAGTTACACGACTAATAGAACTTTATACTTTTATGCTCTTCTCAGGTCTGTCTTGCCAACAATGACGAAGACGTTCATGGAACCGATGGTGCGAGTGAAACGATGGTAGAAAGTTGATCCTCAAAGGAGCAATTTGCTTTCTTCAAAATCTGTTCTGCAAACAGTTTCGGTTCTAACTTCAAATTGGTGTCGGCGCTGACAGAGGCGGTGTCCTGGCAGAATTACGTTATATCCTCATGGGCATCCCCGTGGTTTCGAAACTCTTATGAAAAATACTTTAGGGTGTAGTAATTAATGAAACTAGGATTCGATTACAGTTTTACAACTTGTAATAATGACCATAAATCTTATAACAATGACCATGTACAAACAATTTTGTCTCGCGACACCGTCGTAACGATCATTTCATTGGCCAAAACCTTAGAATGGAGAATGATAATGAAAGTGTTCCAGTGGTTCCATGTGTGTAGCCTTCACATTTTGTTGAGAATTTTTACTGTGTACTGATATGAATTCTTGCCTTGAACAATGGGATGAACCAATAGTCTCGAAATCCTGCGAGTTTTAATACTTTGTGTTGCGAAATGTTTTTCCTTTCGATAAGAATGGGACTTTCCCTTATTAGTGAATAACAAACGGTATCTGAGGACACGTCCGAACGAAAATGAACAGCGTAGGAGGTGTAGTTGATGAAAACACCCCTAATACCACTTTTTGATCTTCTCCTCACTTGTCAGAAAAATGATACTAACATTGCCTCCAAAATGTGATCACAACCTGCACTCACAGCTGTCAAGAGTACCATCCATTTAATATCAAATGCTCCTGCATAAGCTGGTTAGTCATAAACGAACGTACATACAAAATTATAAGGCCACTGGGTGAGATGTACAAGGGGTGGGGTCTTAAGGTCAAAAATTAGGGTGTGACAACATGGAACATGATTACCAAGCCAATCAGAGAAAGCATAAAAGATAGTCACAAATCTATCATGATATCATTTTCAAGCAAGAAAAATATTTTTATTCTCGACTTCATCCACTGTAATAGCCTTAACTGTAAAAGCAATCATTTTAGGATTTCCACATGTACTAGACTACTAAGTGTCAAATCATAGCTAGGTCATCTCTTAACATAGGAACCTCTCCTAAGGAAATAAAAAGATCAACGATACTCAAAAGATCTCTAGGATCACGGAGAGGTTTCCACCTCACAAGTTACAAACAAGTGATCAACCGAATCAACCAAACCACCAGACAAAGAATACAACACACCTTATGGATCAATAATAATCTTTCTCTTAAAAAGGTTTAACCTAGTGAGAATCTTATTCTGCAAGAGTTGTCGAGAGAACATATATGCTTTAAAAAAATGTCCAACTACCCTAAATGAGAGGAAGAACTAAATCCATTATAGTGGGATTAGACACCAAAGGAAGGTTCAACTCAAGAAGAGTAAACTAAGTTGAGGAGACTGAAAAGGCTTCATCTTTTGCATGACTCCAACACCAATGATCCAAATCTTGAGATGGGGTTACTTCTTGAATAATGAGGAATAATTTATTAACCATCTCTTGCTCACAAACAAAAAGAAATCTCATCCACCTAAGACCGAAACAAACACCCTCTCAAATCAGATTCCAACCTCAGGAAGAGTCCCACCAAGCCAAATAGAAATACTATGAAGCCTATACAATTTCTCACTAAAAGGAACATGGTCTTCCTAAGGATCATCCCAAAAGGATGTGTGAAGACCATTACCTACCTTTAACTTTAAACCCTTAACGAACCACTCTCGTGGATAACTTATTTTAGAACTTAATAAAGACACCCATTTCCAATAGGTTGGATTAAGACATAAGGAGGATGATATACTCCCAAAAAAGGAATAAACCACATGTGATCTATATCTAGCAGAAAGAATATTTGTCCAGAGACTCGTCACCCTCAAGGTCTACCTCCATTGACATTTACTAAACATAACTAAGTTATCTATGAGGAGATATTGGACCCCTAAACCACTTGTCACTCTTGGTTTACACACATCAGACCAATAAACCCAAAGACTTTTAGAATTCTATTTTTTCGTGCCACAAAGAAATATCTTTTAAATCCTAACAAACTTCTTCCTACCTTAATATACGTCTTAAGATATGATAAGATGAAAATAAGAATGACATTAATGACCAAATTTAGCAGGTTAACTTTCCTTTCTAAACTAACATGCATATGTCTCCAGGATAGAAGTTGCCTAGAGACAAGGTTTATTAACAGTTCCATAGTAATTCAAGACATGGATCAGCCCCAATGAATAAGCCTAAATACTTAAATGGCAAAGATTATATCGTACAATAAAGAAACTCCCCCCATAAATCCAAAAAATTACAAGGTCAACATTAATCCCAACTAAGCTACTTTTAGAAAAATTGAAACTCGAATCCTTGTAGAATAGCCTTAATCAACTAAAAATTCTCAATTAAGGTATCCCCTAAGATAAGAGTATCATCCACATACTAAGATGGAAGATCACCAAATCATAGGAGGTCACCATATTTTTTAGATTAAAGATTAAGCTTCATTAACTTCTTAAATAAACCACTCAACCCTTCTTCTGCTACCAACAGAAACAAGAGTATGGCTAAAGAGTCACCTTGTTTTAACCCCCTTTGAATACATATATCTCTAGTAGGATAACCATTAAATAACACATTACGATTACTAGCAAACAACAAGCTTTCATCTGCGATCTCTATTTTCCACACAAAAAAATTAACTAACTAAATCGTGGATATGAATTTTTGACATGTTAAATGAATATTAAATATGTATCATTTGATTTAAATTATAAAGTTTATATTGCATTAACTGTATGATTTTTGTTGGGTCATCATGAGAAACATCCATGTTGGGTCAAAAGCAGCACACAAGTGAGAGAGATACCACATATTCACGCAAAATCTTAAGGTGATAGGTGAGTGGATCCTCTCACCTATAATGTTCAACCTCCATTTTTCTAAGCAATGTGGGACTTCCAACTCACACTTGCACATAACAATCTCCCCTCAACTGTGAGTCATCCACTGTACTCATTCTCAAGCGGAACCTCTTTCATCCGCAACCGCATACACTTGTATTGTCGTTGCGGACACTACAATGGAACACGCCGTCTGACCACCATATTGTCAGGAAGACTTTCAATATAAGGAGTCGGTCCCTTAATTGAACCATCGATTCTAATATCATTGTTGGGTCATCATGAAGAGCATCCACGTTAAGTCAAAAACAACACACAAATAAAAAAGATACCACATATTCACCAAAACCTTAAAGTGATAGATGAGTAAATCCTTCACTTTTCTAAACAATATAAGACTTTCAACTCACACTTGTACACAACAATTTTATGATTGCAGGAAATCATGATCTTAGTCCCTAAACGTAAACTTTTGCAAAATTCACCTTAAAAGTAAAACTAGTTTTTTTTACTATTATCAATCAACTCACTGTTTCTTGTTAAATAAGCCCATCTAGAGCTATGATAAAATAACGACATCAAAAAAAAGTATAAATAAGAGATATCATATAAAATAAAATAGTCAAAATAAAACAACAAGACGTACACTTTTCCAACACAGAATGGTGCCACGCTAACTCAAAGTACGTCATAAAATAATACTAACACGTTTATATTATATAGTAGTACTAGTGTGAAGCCATAATAAAGCTTCAAAGAAAATTGTGATGAAAGAGACTTATACTTAAATTCAAAGATAAATATGGTGGGGGCAATGATGGTTGTTTGATATAATTGAGTAAACGCAAACATCCTATATGAAAATTCCACCTGTTATGTTTGATGTCACTGTTTTTCTAACATAATCAAATAATTATGATTTTGAATGCAGCAGTTAACTAAACCTTCTGCACTTGTCACATGCTGGTACACTATATGGGAAACAAAGAAGAATTTTTCTAACATAATCAAATAGTTATTAATTAAGCATAGTTCTAAAGACAAAAATTTAAACACAACCATAGTATAACATAATCTACATCGTTTATAGCAATAATAACGACATATAATAATAGTAATAGATTAATATCAATATATCATAATTATAATCTTAATTAATCACACTGAACCTTGAGAGATCTTGCTCATCACTTTAACGTCTGTGGTGACGGGCGCCGCAACTCCTTGATACGGAGGAGCGTGTACTACCCCACCTGGCGTATTATAATAAACTTGTCTGCCAGTGGCACTATCATACGCCACCTGTGCGTACGAACCTGAACCTGGCGTATTATCCGGTATCCCAGTTGATCGAACCACACTAACTCCTTCCGCATACGCAGGACCTTTAACCGGTTGCGCCGGTGCATAAGTCGCCGGCGCTTTGTGAGGTGGAGCGCCGCCGTAAACCGGCATTTCACGGTAACCATCAGATGACATTCGTTGCACTGCGTAGTATCCTTGACTTACTGGTGGACGCATCACCGGCGCCTGATAGTAATTTCCCGGCGCTGGTACCATATAAACAGGCTGAGGCTGGTCACCTCCTCCAGGAGCAACTGGTGGATAAGCCTCGCCGGAAACAGGCTTCTCCTGCCAATAACCAGTGTGATGCGGCTGCTGCGGTGGTGGTGCGAAGTTCGACATCGGAAATTTCTCAGGCGTTGTCTTCTGAACGTAATAATCTCCGGGAGGATAATTGCCGATGAGACCATCTTCACTTTTCCTCCGATATGCATTTTGCTCGTTCTCCGCTATCTGCATCCGTTGTAACTGCCTCTGAATATCCACCGGGTGGTTCAAACCCGGATCCGAAACGATAACCCGATCAGATGGGTTCAAATTCAAACCTGGTCGCGTAAGATACTCAGGTGGTGGAGCAACCTGTTCCGGCACGGGATTGTTAAACTTAACGACGGGCGGAGGCGGAACAACAACGGCGACAGGCTTTTCAATTCCAAACAGATAATCAACGTTGGAAGGTTTAATCGGGTCGGGTGGGTTTGAATTTGAATTTGAAGCAGAATCAGAGTCGTTAACAAAGAGGAATAATCGCATGCGTGCGGGTCTAGCGGAAGCACGGTAGAGACGATCGTATTCATGCATCATATGGTCGAGATCATCGTCGTTGGTGACAGAAATAAGAGCATCGAGATCCTCTCCAGGGAGTTGGTACTTAAACGAAACATCAGGTGATTCTATGAGAGAGCAGAGTTTAGAGATGATTGAAGAGAATTTGATGTTGCGATCAACGGCTAGGATTTTGGTTTCGCCACCGACGTAAGAGAGTTGGTTGTCGTGTGTTCGTGGTTGGATCTTGCCACCGTAGCTACACATGAACTTGGCTTTATAGTTACTAGTTTGTTGTTGATGTTGTTGTTGTTCGTCCCATGGGATTGGTGTGGGTGGGTTTTCGAAGTCGATTTCTCTAGAACGAGGTGAAGATTCTCCTGAATCTGGGTATGATTGATAGGAATAGTTCTCCATTTGGATTTTCGAACACTTCAATTTTCCTTAACTTGATTTGTCTCACTAGTAGTGTCGTGTGTGTATCTTTATGTTGTTGTTATTTGATGTTGTTGATGTATGTTATGTGTGATCATGAGTGCATGACTCGTGACTTGATGGAAAGATACATATACAGGTATAGAAGAAAAGAAAAACAATGACTTTTGCAAGGTGTCCTTTTATTATTGTTGTGGTATGTTATCTACTTATCTTACATGAAGTTTGGATACGGGTAGTATGAACACGGATAGGATACAATCATACAAGTGATTAGTTATGGTTATTGATTGAACTTTGGTAAGTGTATCAATTGAGGTCACAATAATATAATTTTAAATTGGATCGGCATGGATCTCATTTTCTACTTTAACTATTATTTTTTTATTTAAATTGTCTAACAGTTAAAGAGATAGTATAATTTGATAGAGATTATATTTAAAATAATTTTGATTATGACTCTTTTGGTTGGTTGTAAGTTAGCTGAAAGCTTATAATTTATAATTGATAGTTTTTTATTCATAGTTGATGACGAATGATTTATAGTTCAGAAGTTAATTGAAATATTTGATAAAGTTAATTGTTTAATTAACTCATAAATTAAAATAATATAAAAGACATTTAATAATAATGATTTTATTTTAAATTACAATAAATTATAAAAAGTAAGGTGGGTTTTAGTTAAACTAATAAGGGCAAAAATGGAAAAAAAATGATAAGCTATAAATTACAAGTTAAAACGCTATTTGAAATATCTTTTAAAAAATAAGTTATAAATTAATAAAATAAATTATAAGTTTGTGATGAATAGACTGTTATTAAATAGGTCTTTTATTATCATATGAGCTTATAATTTATAAACTCAAAAAATATCTTGTCAAACAAAGCCTATAAATATTGATTAAAGACGATTACATCTTTTTTTTAAATCTTTTATCTATTTTATTTTAGTAATTTTGTTTGATCACTACAATTGAATCTCTATTGTAACAATGAATTAAAAGAAAGTCCTATTCAATTTCTTGACGTGCAACTCGCTTCTTTAATCACGACTCTATGATGGATGGTTTATCTCACATTAATTCTTATTATTATAAATCAAATAACACTTTATGTATAAAGGTGTTAAATGTGAAACAATAAAGTTAGATCGAATTCTAAAATTAGGATTAGTATTTGTTTAGAACTTGTGATTAATCAAACATTCCTCAATGTATGAAAGCATTAAGTGTTAGAACACAGATTGGTTCTTAATAATAACTCTTTGTTTTGATGATAACTGTTAGGAAATTTATATTTAAGAATTATATACTCTAAAATTTGTTTGAGAGTTTTACTGCAGATTGAAATAATACTAACTCTCTAGAAGCAAATCTGTTTTGAATACAAGAAGTTATTCTGACTCTGAAGCGCCAGATGCACCTTACAGAAGAATTTGTTTGCTCCTTACAAAAGATCCTGAGCGTAGTCTCCAGAAGGATCTGAAGCAAGAAGCTCCAGAACATTCTGAGTCAGAAGCATCTGAAGATAATCAGAAGCATCTGAAGCTGAAGCATCTGAAGCATAAAAGAATATTTATTGAAGAGTTTCTCAAAGCATTTATCTACAGAAGTTTCTGAAAGTACCAACGCTGCCAAGTACTGAAGTTCTGTGTCAAAAATGCTTTGATGATCAACACGCTGTAAGCACACATGCTGCAGAAGACTCTGATACAGCATAGTTCTGAATCTCATTAGAAGACTCTGATTCATTCAGACTCTGAAGAACTTGCTGAAAACTGAAGAAGAAATATTCAAGAATATATCCGTTGGAGCTATTCAACGTCTCTTTCCTCATTTGTGCTAGACACACTTACACAGACAAAAAGGATTTTTCTGTGCCATCTACTTCTAGGAAAGGTCACTTGATGTGAAGACAAAAAGGCTCAGACCTTTTTGGGACTCTCTTTTCAACGCTCAGCTTGCATGGATCAGCTGCCTATAAAAGGAGAACTTCACCACATTCTTCAGATATACACCTTGCTGAAAAGAAATCATTATATTCTAAGCTTTCATTCATTCTTATTCTTCTTAGAATCTTATTGTACTTAAACTTAAGAGAAAAATCACTGTTGTGATAAAAGCTTTTTAGAAGCATTAAAACTCTTGTATTTAATTTACATTGATTGTAAAGGTTATTCCTTAAGAGGATTCAGTTGGAATCAGTAGCTCTTGAGAAGACTAAGAACTGTTGTTCTTAGGTGATACTATTGTAATCAGTTTGATTTAATAGTGGATTAAGTCCTTGTTGAGAAAGGCAAATCACTCTAGGAATGGTGGACTGGAGTAGTTGTTAAACGAACCAGGATAAAAATAATTGTGTGATTATTTTTTTAGTCTTAATTTATCATACTTATTCAACCCCCCCCCCCCCCCTTCTAAGTATTATCTCACCTTCAGTTGGTATCAGAGCCTGGTTCTGAGTGTGCTACCACTTAACAGTGTCAGTAAAGATCCAGAGAGATATACTTTGATATATATATTTATTTGTTATCATGGCTGATAATTCAATGTCAAATATTAACAATAAATATGAAGAGAGGGATAGGATCAGCACCAAACCCCCAATGTTTGATGGGGAGAAATTTGACTACTGGAAAGACAGAATTGAGAGTTTTTTCCTAGGATATGATACTGATCTATGGGATCTTGTCATAGATGGATATGTACATCCCACAGATGGGGATGGCAAAAAGATTGACAGAAAATCTATGACAGATGCTCAGAAGAAAGACTTCAGAAATCACCACAAAGCCAGGACTATATTACTGAATGCTATTTCACATACAGAGTATGAGAAAATTACAAACAGGGAGACTGCTTTTGATATGTTTGAATCCCTTAAAATAACTCATGAGGGAAATTCTCAAGTTAAGGAGACAAAAGCTCTGGCTCTGATCCAGAAGTATGAGGCTTTCAAAATGGAAGACTCTGAATCTGTTGAAGCCATGTTCTCCAGATTCCAGATACTCATTGCTGGGCTGAAAGTTCTGGACAAGGGATATTCTACGTCAGATCATGTAAAGAAAATCATCAGAAGTCTGCCTATCAGATGGAGACCAATGGTGACTGCCCTGAAGATGGCCAAAGATCTGAAGAAGATCTCTCTAGAAGAACTCATCAGCTCACTGAGGAGCCATGAGATTGAGCTTGAGGAAGATGAACCTCAGAAGAAAGATAAAGGTAAATCTGTAGCATTAAAATCTAACAAAACTGCTAAAGCTTTGCAGGTCATTCAAGAAAGCTCTGAAGAATCTTCTTCTGAAGAAGAAGATGAGTTATCCATGCTGTCCAGAAGGATTAACAAACTCTGGAAGCACAAGGGAAAAAAGTTCAACAACTTCAGAAGATCTGATAACATAAAGGAATCTTCTAGTCACAGAAGATCTGCCAAGAAAGAAGTTGTGTGCTATGAGTGCAAAGAACCTGGGCACTACAAAAATGATTGCCCCAAACTTCAGAAAGAAAAACCCAAGAAGAAGTTCAACAAAAAGAAGAAGGTTCTAATGGCAACATGGGATGACTCAGATGAGTGTGAATCATCTTCTGAATCAGAAGAAGAATGTGCAAACGTTGCATTGATGGCCAGGACAGAGGATCAAGAGGAAGGTACCTCAGGATATGAATCAGAATCTGAATCTGATGATGATGCAGAAGAGGTAATGGCTAAACTTACCAAAGAAGAACTCATTAAAGTTTTAACAAAAGTTATTAAAAGTTATAACAACATCAAACTCAAATACAAGAAGCTGAAAAGCAATCTTGAATCTGAGATTGATCTTTTGAAAACAGAACTTGTTGAGCAAAAAGAAATAAATTTAAAAATCAAAAATGACTTTGATATAACTCAACAAGAATTTGAATCTGAGACTAAGTCATGTGAAAATATTCTAGAAAAATATGACTCCAGTTTTCAGAGATTTCTCACTAAGAGCATAGACAGAAGCAAGATGGCTTCCATGATTTATGGTGTTAGTGGAAACAACAGAAGAGGCATTGGATATGAGTCTTCATCTGGAAGCAATCCAAAACCTGTTGATAAACTTTTCATCAGGAAGACACCTCTGTATTCTCAATTCAAATTTGGTCACTTGAATGACATTAAACACACAAGCTCTGAGAAGAGTACTTATGTGTTTAAACCTAAGGCAAGTCAGAATAAACATTATGTTGTAAAACAGAAGTTTAGACAAACCCACAAACCAACTAACCCCAAAGGATCCAAGAAGATCTGGGTGTTGCACCCCAAAATTTTACCAACATTTATTTATCCATCTAGCGTTTGGAAGTTGATACCTTCATCAGAAAATTCAAGAGATCCCCAGAGAAGTGGTTTGAAACCAGGGTTGTGTGCTTCATAGCTTGAGAGTTATGGGTACCCCTCAGATGATTCTGAGACTTTGAGAATGAACTTGATGTTTTGAGAAAGCTTATGAGATGTCTTGATAGCCATCATGAAGCCCAGAGAAGTCATTATGCAAGAGTTCAGAAGATTCAACCATGAATGGTAGAATTAGGGTTTTGGCTGGGTCAACCCTAGATCAGCTGAAGATTTGGAGAAGGTTGAGACTAATCCAAGGGCCATGAGATCATGGAGTGATGCATAGAGATGTTGTAAAAGTGATTCCTAGACCAACACATCATGGTTGAGGAGTTTGAGAAGTTTTGAGTTAGGGTTTCTGAGGATTGTCAGTGAAAAAACCCTAATTTGATCCCTATCTTCCAGGCAGTTTTAGCTCTAGATGTGATTGATATCTCATCTTCCCCACAACATGAATGTTGTAGAGCTTGTTCTAAGCTTTAATTTGAGTGGTGGAAGTCCTTGATAGGAGTTGCAGAGCTCAAGTTATGGTTTTGACAAATTACAGGTCAGCTGAGGTGTGTGAATCTGGGTCCTTGAAAGTCACCCAACTTGCAGACAACTTTTGCCCTAGTAGGATGATT